TCCGCACCTGCGGCCGCTGGGCGATGCCCGGGCGCCGGCCCGGGCCGCGGGCGTTCTGAGCGCAGCGCCCGCCCCGGGGGTGCCCGTCGCGCTGCTGGCCCTGGCCATGTCGTCGTCTTTCTTCAACCCCAGCTTTGCCTTCAGCTCCCACTTCGACCCCGGTGAGTCCGCACGGCGCCCCTCGGAGGCGGCCTTGCCGGCTGTGGCCGCCCCCCCACCTGTCTCCCCACTGCCGACATGATGCTGCTGGAGCCACGGTTTCCCATTTGGCCTGGAAATTAACCCCTTCTCCACCCTGAGTCCCCCGTCCCCCGCAGAAGAACAGGGACCAGCGCGGACCCACTACAGGTCTCCGGAGGTGGGCAGGCCTTGGGGCCAGACCCTGCACAGCCGGCCCCTTCAGCGCTGGCTGGCAGCATCAGCCCCTGTGTCTCTGTGGATGCCTCCCTGGCACAGGTAACTGGGACAAGAGGGCCTGTGTTGGCCCCAGGTGTCCCGGAGAGAGGTTGCCAGGAATTAGGGCCCTGGGGAGGTGAGGGGTGTTTGCCCGGCAGGGCAGGGGTCCAGGCCTGCTGTGGGCTCATACTGGTCAGTGTGGGAGGCCCCTTCCCAGGCCCAGTGCTGGATCCAGGAATCCCTGTCCAGCCAGTCCTCCAGCAAGCCATGGGAGAAGTGGGGGCAATGGGGGGGGGCTGGCATAAGCCCACCTGGGAGCCCAGGAGGAGAGGCTGCTGTGGACAGGCTGGCTGCATGGGACCTGGGGCTGGGCCTCTTACTCCGCTGGCCAGTGGACACGGCAATAGCATGTTTACCATGACTGCCTGATCATGATGGGCAGCTGGGGCAGGCAGGGAGGGGCAAGGGCAGCTGTAAACCCCATGTGTTTCCAACCCCCATTCTGTCTGTCATCTGTCCTGAGTGGGAGGGAGATGAATCCCTGCCCAGGAGCCTAAAGTCCCACCCACATGTCCCTGGGGCTCTAGCTTGGGCTTCACAGCCCAAACAAAGCCAGGCTCACATGTGATGGCTCTCTTGGGTCTCCCTCCTGGAGTGGGGCCAGCGCATTCGGTGATGTACAGAGTCCCCTGGGCAGGGCTGGGTCTGAAGGCATTTGCTCCCAGAGAGGGGAGCGGATGGGAGCTGTCTACTTGGCTTAGGGCTGTGGGTGTCCCTGGCTTAGAAACAAAGTCCTGGGTAACCTGAGGGGCTTGGAGGTCATCGGTTCATCTCCCAGTCAAGGCCCAGAATTAAGCAGCCTAGTCAGTGATCTGCCAAGTTTAGAGAAAGGATGGAGTTGGCTTTGTGGAGTAGCCCCAGGCTTAGACCACCTTTGGAGACAGACATCCAGGGGCAGCATCTGGCCCCAGAAAGTCCTTATGGCAGGAATGGCCTAGCCATGAATCCCCTTCCTGTGGGAGGCTGCTCCAGACTGCAGACAGGTGGCCTTGGAGCTGTTGGGGTAGGCCTGGGGCCTAGCTTGACCCCAGTAGGAGGAGGAGTCTTGAACCCTCCCACCTGCCTCTCCTATAGTCTCTGCTGGGCCCAGACCTGTCCTGGTGTCTCACTATCCCTCTCTCCTCCCGGGTGTCCAGGGCAGGGGTGCCCTTCCCCTACCTTAAAGAGCAGCAGTGATTTGTGCTCTTGCACTTTTAGTCGATCAGAGTAATTACAGTGTGTTGGCTTAATGACCTAAGAGAGGGAAGCATCTTAGGCAAGGGGAGGTCTGTTGAGAGCTGTGTGCCTGTGGCCGCTGTGCCCTTACTGTTGGGAGGGTCCACCCCCTGGCCTGGATGGTGGTGATAAGGAAAGGGGACTTTGCTGAGGTAACAAGCCCTGGCCCTGTGTGTGCTGGAGAGGAAAGGTGGGATCCGCTATCCTTCCCACTAACCCTAGCATGCGCAGAGCTTGCTCTCCCCCACCAAATTCCCTGTGTCCCGCTTTGCTTCTCTAGGCCTCTGTTTCTCCACCTATAAAAATGGGATGGTGATGCCAGTGACCAAGTCAGGGTTGGGGGAGGTGCTCAGTGAGCCATCTGCGGAGGACAGGGAAGTGGGGGTGAAACTAGTGCTTGAGACCCCTGCAGCCACAGTGCCTCTGTGGCTTTTCTTCATCCCTGAAGTGGGGAGAGATGGTCCATCTAAGGTCACCTGCCTTGGGGCTACCAAAATTCAGAGGGGAGACTTATGATTGAAGTGGCTGTAGAGTTTGTTTTGGGGGTTGCTCAGTGGCCCCCGACAGTTCCCAGGACATGCATGCCCTTGACTATGGCCAGGCCTTCAAGCATGACAGAACTGGCAGGTGTGACCTTGTCTGAAAGAGGTAGAGGCTGTTAGCGCCCGACACCACCAGAGCCACAGTGAGCAGGACAGAGTACAAGAGAACCGGGGCTGAGCACACACACTCCTCGGGTGATGTGGGCTGGTCAGGTGAGTGCCCAGAAGGGCCTGCTGTGAAGTTGGGCCCTTCACCTGCTCCCTGGCACCCAGGATGTAGGTGACCAAGGAAGAGTTCTTGGCAGACTTGGCCCAGTGGCCTCTGTGCTGTGTAGTCTTGGGCCAGGCCCTCAACCTCTCTGTGCTCACTCTACACAGGTTAAACCTCACCCTGTGTGGACCAGGTAGGCAGAGCACAGAAGCTGAGAAATATAGGGAGCTGGTGTGGCCTCATGGAGAACAAGAGCAGCTGGAGAGAGGAGTTGGAGGGAGTGACTTGGAGGGAGTGGCAGTCACCTCTCCCTCAAGTACCCTGAGGGCGGGGTGGGGGCTGCTCTTGTTTCTGACTCCCTGCCTCAGTGTGCCACTAGAAACTAAGCAGGTCAGGCCTCTGTCAGGGTGATTGCCAGGCCCTGGCACTATTTCTGGCACCAGCAACAGTGGTGTGGGGGCACCGTGGAGCTGCTTCACCAGAGCACCCCATGTCCCTCCCCATGGCTTACTTACTTAGTCCCTTTCGGTGGTCTGGTCCTCAGTTTGGGCCTCAGTTTCCTTATCTGTGACGTGGTGGTGTGGAGCACTGAGCAAGGATGAACACCAGGCAAGGCTGGTCAAGGTGGTTCCTACTGGAGTTGGGCCTGGGGTAGGTGGGACCATGGAGGTGGCAGCCATCTTGACAGTTTTCAGGAGCTCAGAGAGGACACAGCGACCCCACCCCATGGATCCCATTGTCCACTGTGTCCTGCTGCCTACCATCTCCAGCCCCTTAGCTCATATTCTGACCCCTGCCCAAGTCCTCACCCCACACAGGGGCTCCTAAGAAAGAAATCCATACTCTCTTGTCATCCATGTGTGGTGAGACACAGGGCCGGCACGCTGCAGCCTATGGTGATTATGGCGGAAGAGGCTTTGTGCTCCAAGCCAGGCTTGGTCTGAGTGGTACTTGAATGGATGCACTTGGGGCTTGGGCCAAGGAAGGCTCTGGAGATGGGCCAGGGAGTCCCCAGAAGTACTGGTTACTGGCTCACAGATGCATCTGGAAGTTGGAAAGTTGTGGCCCACTTTCTGGCAACCTGAAAGCCACAGGACCTGGTTGCAGGCACCAACTGACCAGGCCTTCACAGCAGCTGGGTCGAGGGGGTGGGCATGACTCTGGCTTGCCCCCTTCCCCGGTGGGCTCAACGACAGGTATGCCACTCAGGACCTGGATTTAGGGCTCCCCCTGCCTCAGTATGACCTCATCTCAATGATCACCATGGTCTGTAGGTTATGGGTGGCCAGACTGAGGAGTGCCTTGGCAAGGGCCCAGTGGGCCCTGGCTGGTGGTGGCCATGTTCAGGCTGCTTCTTGAGGGGCCTGGTGAGTGGTCATAGACCCCTGGGGCAGGGGGCAGGGGGACACATACACATAGGACTTCTGCCATTCCCCCAAAGGCACAGCTACATGCACACAGGTATGTGGCACACACGGACACAAACACCTGCAACAAATACCTTCCCCAAGGGTAATACAACATGGCATATCCAGGAGGGCAGGGCACAAACATGTCTGTGCACATATGTTTCTGCACACGGGCACCTTGGGGGCACACATAATGCAGTCTGCTGTTCCTAGTGTGCAGTCATCTCTGTGGGGAACTCTCCTGAGTGTGGGCACCCCTCTTCCGGGAAACTTGCTCCTCAGGACACAGGATTCTTTGCCTAAGTCACACCTATACCATTTCACTGCAAGGGGCTGTCCTGCAGGTGTGTGTTTGATTGAGAGGTGTCACCCCAGGTCCATGCGTACCCTGAACTTCAAGATAGTGTCTTGTTTAGAAAGAGGGTCTCTGAAGGTTTGATTTATTAAGGTGAGGTCATACTTAGGTCGGGTGGGCTCTAAATCCAGTGGCAGGTGTTCTGTAAGGGGACACAGAAATGGAGGTCGTGGGTGGAGGTGGATGTCGGAGTGACAGGGCCACAAGCAGTGTACTGCCTAGGTAGGTCCCAAGCCAGAAGAGCCAGCAAGCCCGCCCCCCTCTTCCAGGAGTCACCTGCCAAATCCAAAGCTGAGTTCTGCCTCTGGACCAGCAAGGAATTTTTCTCATAAAAGCCACCAGTTTGGGGATCTTCATCTACGCAGCCCCAAGACACAATTGAAGGGTTCCTTGGGCCTAGGAATCAAGGCAGGGGCTGGAGGGTCTGCAGCTTGCCTTGGTATCTGTTTGACATGGTGGGTCCCCGATAAGTGATGTCCTTGCTGTCACTGGCCACCTGTTCTCTGCTCATGGGGTACTTCCTGAGGGTGGGCCAGGCCCAGTCCTCTGCCAGGCCCTTCTCCTGGGCTTGTGGCCACCTGCCTTTCTCCTATGACTCTTGGTACAGGAACTAAGGGTCAGCTGGAAGGGAGCCCAATGCAGACTACCACCAGGAGACACTCCCTTCTTGTCCAAAGGCCACTGGCCCTGCTGTCCTGTGGGCCAGGCAGAATGCACAGAGTAGGCCGAGAGTTGTGTTTGTGGTAGACAGACTCCTATGTCATGCCCCCCCATCCATGTCACATGACGCGCTGGGCCATGGTGTCTGTAGGGGCCCTGGTGTTGGGCCCCTCCAGGCTGGACCCTGCCTGCCTGTCACAGAGGAACTAGTAGTAATGGGACCAGTGGCTGTGGCCTCCCCGCCCCCAGCAGAGGAAGCCGGCAGAGGAAATGAGGGCAGCGGACGCAGCCAGAGCCAGTTCCCAGGCCGCCTGTCTGGGTGGACCGTTGCCTGAGGACTGTCACAGGAGGCAGCATCACGAGGCGTCCCCTGCCTTCTTTTGCTAGGGCCTGGGCCAGGGCATGAGGGTGGGGTGGGGTAGGGTCCTCCAGAAGGTCACTGTGGGGGAGCAGAGCTGGAGCCTCTCAGGAGCAGCACCCAGAGCCGGTATGTCGGGGATTCTGGGTGGACACTGGCTGCTCTGTCCCTGTCAGCTGGTGGTGGGGATGGACAAGCTATCCCTAAGGACTCTGATCCACAAAGGACCCTGCCAGAGGACAGGGCTGTC